TAGGCGCGAACGAATGAAGAAAAAACTCCTGCTCAGTGAGTAACGATAAAAGAAGAAAGGGTTTATTTACAACATATACAGAAAAAAAGGTAAAGGGATAAAATGACAATTAGGAGAGAAAGAAAGGGAAAAAGAGAAAATGTTCTTAACTTAAAAAAAGGCTTGCTCAAAATATTTCTCTGAGCGCCTAAAGAGTTCTTTAAGCGATTAGATGTTATTGTTAAGGTTCAGATGGATACACTCACAGTTCTTGTAGAGTTGGAAATTTGTTCGCAGATGAAGGAATCCTGTAGCTGAGTGAGTTTTTAGGTCGACAACAGAAGTCCAGTGGGCTCGTCAGAAGGAGTGGTGAAGGGATGCAGCTTTGGATTGGTCTTGAATAGTGGACCGACGTTCGTTTTTGACAGCCCTTTTTAATAGTTCTTCTTTGGTGAAAGGGGTGCTGGAGCTCCCTAATGTCGACCTCACAGACGGTGGGCAGAAATCTCACTGTCGAAATAGGCAAGATTCTCCAAATTTATGGAGTTTTGGTAGGCTCCGAAGGATCGGGGACTTTTCCCTCCAAAATCGTTGTACAAATATCCTGGCTCCTCTATTGGTCAGAAAACACATTCTTATCTCTGATAAGAATCAGGGCCCTGGGAGCCAGTTTAGAAGGTACTGAAAATAGGTTGAAGTGAAGAAGCTGTGAGGTTTCCCCCAGACTTTATGGCACCATGGAAAGAATAATGGTGGTGGAATTCCTTTTTATTTCCAAGCTCTCTCCTTAGTCAGAAAATATATTCTTATCTCTGATAAGAATGAAGGCCTTGGGAGCCGGTTTTGAAATTAAAAAGAGGTTGGAGTGAGGATAGAAAAAATAGCAAGAATGTGAACTTGTGAAATTGTTGTTCTCAAATTAAATTCCAACAACTTGGCTGATATTTTAAAATAGTTTACTGCACCATTAACAGATAGTTCAAAAGCACCATATAGCATTACACGAAGCCCACTATATTGAAAGCAACCCGGTTCACACTCTTTCCCGGTTTTTTGAACGGGAGTAGAGGTTTATCCCTTGTTTCCTGCTTAGGATTTGGCTTCTGGTTCCTTGTAAAATCTACTTCAACCCTGTACTTCTAATGTCTTCGTCTGAATACTGAAATTTTATTTACTATTTATTTTTCCTCAATAGAAGTAGATGTTTGCCTATCGTCCGGATCACACTTCTCTCTGCTCTTTTGAACAGGAGTAAAGGTGTATCCCTTGTTTTCTGCTTAGAATTGGGTTTCTGGTTCCTTTTAATGTGTACTTCAACTCTCTACTTCTAACGTCTTCGTTTCGTCTCTGAAATTCTGTTTACAATTTTTTTTTTCCTCAATAGGAGTAGATAAGTTCCATCGTCCGGATCACACTTCTCCGCTCTTTTGAACAGGAGTAGAGGTGTATCCCTTGTTTTCTGCTTAGGATTGGGTTTCAGTTCCTTTTAAAGTCTTTTCCTTCTCTTTCATTTCTCGCTCATTGTGTCATAGTGGCATTATCGCCTTGCTTAGGCAGAATTAATTAAAAATATATATATTTCTGTATTCAATTACGATTCGATTTGCAAAACAGAAGAAACGGATAGATAAAATAAAGATAAAGAGGTACAGTGTAACCCGGATGTAAGACAGTCGTCGGGACCGGAGAAGAAGTCTCTTATATCCGGGTTTCTCTTATATCCGAGTTTGGTCTATTTTATATACACAGGCTCTAATTTGGGACCAGAGAAAATCTCTCTTATATCCGGGTCTCTTATATCCGGGTTACACTGTATATACAAAATTATTATTATTCGAATCATATGATTCTGATTTTATATTCTACGATCGAATGGATCGAAAATAACAAAGCATTAGTCAAGGTTTGGAAGTCTATTTTGTGTCTGTGAAAACTCTGTTGTTTGAGCGTGGCAATGTCTTCTTAGAATTTCGTCCCCGTCCAACAACCAAAACGATGAAGCAAGAGGAAGAAATCAGCAATGTCGGAAAAAAAAAATTAAAAATTCGTAGAGTAAAATGAAAGTAATAATTTAAAAAAATATATTTTAACTCATATAATCAGTCAAGAGATTGATTTAAAAATAATTCAGATTTTGTTGACGAAATTAAGAATCGTAAAAAAATTAAATCCATTGCAATTAAAATGATACTTATGAATAAAAAAAAGATACTTTTAGAGCACAAAGGCTCCAGAGGGATTCGAACCCTCGACCTCCAGTTTACTAGACTGGCGCTCTAACCAACTGAGCTATGGAGCCAGCTGTTGATACGTGATAACACAAAGCTTAACATCTGTTAGTGTTACTGTTAACCAATATTGCCACTGACAAGTTGTCTAGTTTAATATTTATTAGTCACGCTTACAGTTTCTGGTTAAAGCGGATACACTGCTGGGATCTTTTCTAATAATTTTAATACGAAAACCTGTAAATATATCTGTGTAAATTTTTTGTAGTTATTTTCAGTTTTATACTAAAGTTTAGTTGTATTCATTTGAACGCTTTGCATCTGGTGTTCCTACTATATAACTCAAAATTCTGGACAAAATCTAAAGAAAGATCTATAACATTATATCGGTCTTGAATTGGCATATCGACTTCCCTCGCTTCTCATCGCTCTAACGTAGCTTCCCTGTATCATTCTATAAATATTTTCATGGAAATTGTTCTAATGAGCTCCATCACTTTTTTTTAGAAAAAAATGTTGTTAACTTCACCCCCACCCAACCCGTCAGATAAATTGTACATATGGGAAGTAGTTAGGACTTCATAGAGACTTTGAGATATTATTATGGTGGCTGTAGTGGAAATGGTAAGTAAAATCATAAAATGTGTTGTTTTGGTGTAAGAAGTAATACCTAGAAAGGGTTACTGAATGAGGGATAACCAAAACGGAGGTTGGAAATGAAATAGTAATCTTTATAACATCAACAAAATACAATACTCGCCAGCGGCGTGAAATAGGTAAACCACTGTGATATGTCTCGGAAAGGGATATATTAGTAACAACATAAACATAACATAAACAAAACTTTGTTTTCGTTGATATATGAGTCATTTTTAATCGTGATATGCCGATTTTTTACGTGACCTAATGGAGGTACCTATATTAGTTCGATTACTGTAACCGCGTGGAAAGATTTAGCAGCTAACCGTAATGGACTGGTCCTCATCGTAGTGGTAGGCAGTAGGCGTAGGCAATAGGCGAAGAAAATAGGCGTAGAAAATAGGCGTAGCCAATAGGCGTCGTCCATAGGCGTCCTCAATCAGTCTGTATTTATGGCTGACACCAGACAATCATATTACTGTGAGGGGGAACCCAGGTGTATGCGTATTCATTACATCACACTGCTAGTGGTGGACTACTTAGATAGCTTATTACCCCCACTTACAATAGTGTCCAACGTATTTATGAGGATTGGGAGATAACCATTAGTGTTCATAGAGACGGTATATTTGTGTCAGTAATCGTGGCTAGCACAGTTTAATATAAAACAGATTAAAGACCAGCCTTCCCCTACCCCCACACATTTGGCCTTGTGCCACATTTTTGTATTATTCAAAATAAATATTGCTTTCCCCTTTGGTGCATCGACTTTGTGAATTTAAGCGTAGTACTAGAGTTGTAGCTTTGTCTTTTTTTTTTCTTTTTTTTACAGTAAGGTTCACTCTGTACAAAGCCTGAGAGCCACTCGAAATAGAGGGTTACCTTAGGAGTCCATTTGTACGGATAGGAGAGGAAAGTAAAGATTAACCCTGAACATGAGCAGGTTAAGATTTAATGATTGTAGGAAAACATCCCCTTGGAAGTCAGTTGCACAGAGCTGTGGTTCGCGAGAAGAGGCTGTTCCAGTGGAACTTACTTCTCGACGATGGAATACGGGGGGAATGCTGATGGTTTGTAATGTAAGAGGCATAGTGGATCCTTGCTGTGAAGTCTAGGCCTGGCGGAACCAAGGAATATCGTTAGTTTAATCATTTTATTTTACTGTTGAAATAGCTAGATGTAACCGTAAGTTCTATTCTAATAGTTTCTTCTCTCACACTTCTCACCTGTGGAACACTATTTCATTTTCTTGCTTTTCTTCCAACTAAGAACCTCAAAACTTTAAATGCTACATCAATCGCCATCTTCTGTCTTCCTGAATTTCTGTTCTTTTATTGTCCTTTCTCTTCACTAAAATTTTCTCATTTTCTTTCATTCTCAGTAACTTATTGTGTCTTAGTGGCATTAACGAAATGATTAAAAAAATGGCTCAAAAGAATGGAGAATAATTGGAAAAAATATAGAAATCGATAAAACTTATCTAGTGACCTGTCTTCGGGGTGAAAGGTTTCTGCTTTTCTTACTGGTGTTAGAAATAGGTGTTCGAATCCAGGTTAGGCGTCATTTCGAAGGTAAGCAAGCAAACTTATTCGAACTTTGGATACTTGGAGCTACGCACTGTTACTTTATGATATTTGTACTTTGTGTCGTACTGAGTTTAGCTGATAAAGTTCAGCTATGGGTAAATAGCAGGACAGACTGGGTTCTATAGCCTTGGATGGCAACTGGTCTACTAAGGAAAAAAATCTGCCTCGTCAGTCATGTATCGAAATATACATGATCGCCTAAGCGTGTATCACGTATGGCACATAACTGACTGATGTGAACGTAAGAGGAAGTGAAAACTATGAGGATATAGTAGACAAATAACGATTGAAACTAAACTGGAAGAGTAACGATTGTAGTATTCGGGAAGCACTTACTCGGGAGCATGTTCCCAAATTAGCGGTTCTTGGGAAGATGTGTGTCGTTTAACTAAATTATTCTTCCTAACGGAATATAGAGAGAATGAAAAGGATTCTACCCAGTGAATATAATAAGTCATATCTTCGCCGTGAAGGTCTGAACTGGTGGCATTAAGAATGAAGCTTATCGGAACATTTGCTATGGTTGATTTGTCTTTTTTTACGGCTTATCAAACCTTTGTAGATTTGGCTTGTGGCCATATCATGTTGAAACACCGGTTCTCGTAAGATCACCGAAGTTAAGCAACGTTGAGCCTGATTATTACCTAGATGGATGACCGCTTGGGAATACCAAGTGCTATAAGCTTAGATGTGCGGTTGGTGTAAGGGATAATAGCTCAGAATTGTCAGTTGGGGAGCTGCGTTCAAATTCCGGTTGGGTTCGTTATATTCGCTTACGCGCAAATACCCTTAGCGAAATCCTTGGCAAATCCACCTCTTCTCTTGTATAACTAAATTATTATTATCTTCTGGCTTTAAAAACCCGCAAAGCGTATATAATCTGCAGAAAAGAAAACAATCAATGTTAAAAAATGATTCACCATTTTTTTTGATGGTCGAAGAGAGACTTTTAAAGTTATACATAAAACGGGCAGAATCTTTCTCTGTGCGTAGGTAAGGAGTCCGCAACAAGTTTTAGTAGTTTTTTTCTTTTCCAGAAATATACTTTGAGAAATAGAACAAACTTCTATTGCTCTTCTTAAAACTGTGCTTTGTCGGAGTTAACTCCTCCTTCAGTTCGTAACCCTTTCACCAGGGGTCTCTCTTTCCTGGCTATAAATAGCCAATGACCTTTCGCCTCAATCTCTTTTTTCCTTTCAGGCCTGTGCACTGACACCTCGAGGTAAATTTCTCTTATTCCTAGAGGATTTCAACTATCAACCTCGAAATGTAGTCGCTAACAAGGAATAGCGTGTAAACACGCTATGCACAATATACACACACGCACGCACACAGAATATTCACACGCACGCACATACAGAATATTCACACACTTCGTCCTTTGTACTGTTTCCATGTATTGTAACTTGTTAATAATATATATTTGTATATACGTATATTATCGGTCTTGTTTTGTTTGCTTTCTTTTCCTTCTTCTTTGGACTTAATCAAAGTTCAACCTTTTTATGTAGTTGAGCTCGGCGGGCAGGAGTATCTGAACCTTGCGTTTCTTCTACGTCTGACTTCTATCAACAACATAACAGCCACGCCATGAACCCTCAACAAACCGTAACCGCCACGGCCCTCTACAGCTTCTTCTGAATGTCTCAGAATTTAGGAATGACCAACAACATTGAACGGTGAAGATGAGAAAGCGTCTTCGCGCCATTTTGTGAGTAGCAAAGCTTAAGAAGTAAACATCAGTCGTAATGATGAAGACACGTCGTTTAACTAAATTATTCCTTGAGATGGTTAACTTTTTTTGTGGCGTCCTGTCTTACACTAATGTTAATATCTTAGACCTGTCGAAATATATTGTCGAAATTGAAATAAGAGAGTTTCCACATTACCGCTCGCAAATTTTTCCCGAAGTTATTTTTAGACACTCCATCTGATTGGTTGTAAATCTGAAAAAAAAAAAAAATGATTTTATAAGATTGTTTGATTTCGACTTCGTATTGACCCTCGTTTTGCACAGATTTTGCCGAAAAGGAAATTATGAACACAAACAGTTTCCGTCGTTACATTTTCCCATAAATATTGGGCACCCATTTTTTTTAAATTCTTGGTGATCCATCGTTTTCAGAATAACAGAAAAAAGAAAGCGTTTTAAATGTTCTATTTAAAAAAGGTCATTAAAATTGAATATTTTAATTATCAACTTTCAAACAATTTAAAAAAAAAAAATGTTTATATTTTATGGATAAGAATACAGACGCTTTATTTTATTTTTTTAAATGTATATTTTATTATTTTAATAAATGCTTACATACAAGCTAGCTATTTTAATAATTACATTTATTAATATAATAATTAATTTAAATATTAATTGCTGATTTTATCATTTTGTGACTTTTTCTAGTGTTTAAACTTTTGATAATTTAAAAAAAATAATAATTTCATCCTAAACAAGGCGATAATGCCACTAAGACGAAGGTGTGAAAGTGAATAAGAAGACTTTATTGAGGAGAAAGGGAAATAAAAGAACAAGATTCAGGAAGACAGACGTGGCGATTGACGTTTCATTTTTGAAGTTGTCGGTGGAAAGAGAAGGGAGAAACCAGAAGATTGTCGGTGGGAGAGAAGCAAGAAACCGGAAGATTGTCATTGAGAGGGAAGCGAGAAACCGGAAGATTGTCGTTGAGAGGGAAGCGAGAAACCAGGAGATTGTAGGTGGGAGGGAAGGAAGAAACCGGAAGATTGTCGGTGGGAGGGAAGGAAGAAACCGGAAGATTGTCGGTGGGAGGGAGGGAAGCGAGAAACCGGAAGATTGTCGGTGGAAAGGGAAGGAAGAAACCGGAATGTTGTCGGTGGGAGGGAAGCGAGAAAGCGGAAGATTGTCGTTGAGAGGGAAGCGAAAATCCAGGAGATTGTCGGTAGGAGGGAAGGAAGAAACCGGAAGATTGTCGTTGAGAGGGAAGGAAGAAACCGGAAGATTATCGGTGGGGGAGAAGCAAGAAACCGGAAGATTGTCGGTGGGAGGGAGTTAAGGAAGAAACCGGAAGATTGTCGTTGAGTAGGAAGCGAGAAACCGGAAGATTGTCGGTGGGAGGGAAGGAAGAAATCGGAAGATTGTCGGAGGGAGGGAAGGAAGAAACCGGAAGATTGTTGGTGGGAGGGAGGGAAGCGAGAAACCGGAAGATTGTCGGTGGGAGGGAGGGAAGCGAGAAACCGGAAGATTGTCGGTGGGAGGGAAGGAAGAAACCGGAAGATTGTCGTTGAGAGGGAAGCGAAAATCCAGGAGATTGTCGGTGGGGGAGAAGCAAGAAACCGGAAGATTGTCGTTGAGAGGGAAGGAAGAAACCGGAAGATTATCGGTGGGGGAGAAGCAAGAAACCGGAAGATTGTCGTTGAGAGGGAAGGAAGAAACCGGAAGATTATCGGTGGGGGAGAAGCAAGAAACCGGAAGATTGTCGGTGGGGGGGGAGGGAGTTAAGGAAGAAACCGGAAGATTGTCGTAGGACGAGAGGACGGGAGAAACCGGGAAGATTGTCGGTGGAGGGGAAGGAAGAATCCGGAAGATTGTCGGTGGGAGGAGGAAGGAAAGAAACAGGGAACGGAAGAAGATTGTCGGAGGGGAGGGAGGGAAGAGAAACCGGAAGATTGTCGGTGGGAGGAAGGAAGAAACCGGAAGATTGTCGGTGGGAGGGAGGAAGCGAGAAACCGGAAGATTGTCGGTGGAAAGGGAAGGAAGAAACCGGAATGTTGTCGGTGGGAGGAAGGAGAAAGCGGAAGATTGTCGTTGAGAGGGAAGCGAAAAAACCAGGAGATTGTCGGTAGGAGGAAGGAAGAAACCGGAAGATTGTCGTTGAGAGGGAAGGAAGAAACCGGAAGATTATCGGTGGGGAGAAGCAAGAAACCGGAAGATTGTCGGTGGGAGGGAGTTAAGGAAAAAACCGGAAGATTTTCGTTGAGTAGGAAGCGAGAAACCGGAAGATTGTCGGTGGGAGGGAAGCGAGAAAGCGGAAGATTGTCGTTGAGAGGGAAGCGAAAATCCAGGAGATTGTCGGTGGGAGGGAAGGAAGAAACCGGAAGATTGTCGTTGAGAGGGAAGGAAGAAACCGGAAGATTATCGGTGGGGGAGAAGCAAGAAACCGGAAGATTGTCGTTGAGAGGGAAGGAAGATTGTCGGTGGGAGGGAGGGAAGCGAGAAACCGGAAGATTGTCGGCGGAAAGGGAGGGAAGAAACCGGAAGATTGTCGGTGGGAGGGAGGAAAGAGAAACCGGAAGATTGTCGGTGGGGAGGGAAGGAAGAAACCGGAAGATTGTCGGTGGGAGGGAAGGAAGAAACCGGAAGATTGTCGGTGGGAGGGAGGGAAGCGAGAAACCGGAAGATTGTCGGTGGAAAGGGAAGGAAGAAACCGGAATGTTGTCGGTGGGAGGGAAGCGAGAAAGCGGAAGATTGTCGTTGAGAGGGAAGCTAAAATACAGGAGATTGTCGGTGGGAGGGAAGGAAGAAACCGGAAGATTGTCGTTGAGAGGGAAGGAGGAAACCGGAAGATTATCGGCGGGGGAGAAGCAAGAAACCGGAAGATTGTCGGTGTGAGGGAGTTAAGGAAGAAACCAGAAGATTGTCGTTGAGTAGGAAGCGAGAAACCGGGAGATTGTCGGTGGGAGGGAAGGAAGAAACCGGAAGATTGTCGGTGGGAGGGAAGGAAGAAACCGGAAGATTGTCGGTGGGAGGGAGGGAAGCGAGAAACCGGAAGATTGTCGGCGGAAAGGGAAGGAAGAAACCGGAAGATTGTCGGTGGGAGGGAGTTAAGCGAGAAATCGGAAGATTGTCGGTGGGAGGGAAGCAAGAAACCGGAATATTGTCGTTGAGAGGGAAGCGAGAAACCGAGAGATTGTCGGTGGGAGGGAAGGAAGTAACCGGAAGATTGTCGTGGGAGGGAAGGACCAAACCGAGAGATTGTCGATGGGAGGGAAGGAAGTAACCGGGAGATTGTCGGTGGGAGGGAAGGAAGGAACCGGAAGATTGTCGGTGGGAGTGAAGGAAGTAACCGGAAGATTGTCGGTGGGAGGTAAAAAAGAGACCACAGACCAGATGTGCGATTTTTCTTTGTGTGTGTATGCTTTTTATAAATGCCTCTGAAATGTTTTTACATCATTTTTTTTTTAGAAACTATCAAACATTTAGAGTTTGTCTATATTTCTGAGATGAGGTACAGTATTTACATTAGTCGGACTATTGTCCTCATCTTTGTCGCCATATTTGTCACAACGTTTCGGCCGTTGTACGCTCCGGCCTTCTTCAGGTGGTTGGAATTTCGAACCGAACCCTTTATTTCGATCGCTGGGGTAGACTGTTCTAATTCCCCGTGCCATGTTTGATGGATGTCAGTTATCAGTTATCTCCTGTCAGTCTACCCCAGCGATCGAAATAAAGGGTTCGGTTCGAAATTCCAACCACCTGAAGAAGGCCGGAGCGTACAACGGCCGAAACGTTGTGACAAATATGGCGACAAAGATGAGGACAATAGTCCGACTAATGTAAATACTGTATCAAACATTTATTTAATATTATTATTGTATTATCAGCACGAAGAACTTAAAATTTCAGCAGTGTTGATACTGGAAAGTATTTAAATGGGAACTGCTTGGAAACATTAGGAAGTGTTTTAGCGACTTCTGACATTACGAAATATGAATCAGCTTTAAATAGCCCACAAAAAAGGGTTGATAAGCTGTACAAGACAAATAATCAGTCGACCAATCAAACACCAGTATTTTTTATCTTAATTAACAGTGTCTGAAATTCGAAAGAAATTCAAGACAGAAATTCTAATGCAGTACTCGTAGTGGTGGTTTATAAAATAAATCTAATCACTAATTTTTACTTCAATTGTAATGAGTAATAATGACTATAAAAAAACAAAAACAAAATTCCACTTTGCAAGACTGGCGCTTCGATCAGTTCGGATCTATAATCAACTTTCATTTCACTAATGAAAATAAATATCCCTCGTTAACATAAAATCAATTAAATGCTCATGTATAAAATAGGATAAAAGATATCTCGTGATATGAGAAAACAATAAAAACATAAAAAGAATCTTTTACGTATCTTGTGGGGAATTAGCTCAGATGGTAGAGCGCTCGCTTAGCATGTGAGAGGTACCGGGATCGATGCCCGGATTCTCCAATCATATTTTTTTTTTAAATTTATAAAAAATAAACATATAATTTATCTCGTTTTAGTATAACAAAATCGTTACTCTCTGAGTGTCACATTTGCACCTAGAAATTTTTAAATCATTTCACCCCTAGAAAGGCGATAATGACACTAAGACGCAAGCGGTCGTTGAGAGTGAAGGAGAAGATTTTAGAAGGAACCGGATACGCAATCCTAAACAAGAAACAAGAGATAAACCTCTACTCCTGTTCAGACAGGCAAAGAAGGACTGTGAACCGGGTGATAGGCAAACTGTTATTTAAATTGCAACCCACAATTATACCGCGTGGCAAGAAATCATACTGCTTTCAAAATAATTTTCCAGAAAACAAACGTTTTTTAAGAATTCCTGAAATAAAGATGACAAATTTCATCATTCTAAAAAACCTTGCCATCGGTGATGAAATATGAGAAAGATTCTAAAATCTGATTATAAAAGCGACCCTTCCACCACAAAAAGTGAAAACAGTCAGTAGAGTTGAGAACAGTAGAGTAGCACGTGACAAAAAACAGTAGTATAAAGGCTCAACACACACGTATCCTCATCCCTCAAGAAAATCGTTATCCTCACCAACGAAATTCTCGGAACAAGCAAAAAACAAGTAAGTACAAACTTTTAAAGAAACAAAAAAGACAAAAACACAGAGAACGTTTTTAACACACTTCATACCAATATCTGTAATTCACATCACGAAAAAGAAAATTACACATTTTTGTTATTAACGTCAACACGTCTCTCAAATATTATTGTTGTTATAATTGTACATTTTATGCATTTTATTTTCAGTATATAAAAATAAATTTAAAAAGGATTCTTCTATTAGTTACTACTGCAAATACATATAACAACGCACTCATCAAATAATATCGAGATAATTACTAAGTCAAACCCCTACTTATCAACATCATTTCACGCTTAGGCAAAATTGATGAAACATTAAAGTTATTAATATTTATTTTAGTTTTATATGATCTTGTTTTAAAACTTAGGTCGTTATTATATTTCCTACCACCGTTATACCAACAACATGGATCAATAAGTAGGTACCCTAAAAGATACAAGCTCGGAAACCTTAAAAACGCATTTAAAATATCTGTCTATATTTCTGAGATGAGGTATTATGTACACTATTTACATTATTCGGACTATTGTCCTCATCTTTGTCGCCATATAATGTAAATAGTGCATTTAAAATAATCTAAATATTTCCTTCTTGGTATTTAAAAGCTAATCTAGAAAACAGAAAAATAATTTTACGTATTTCAATAAGGCTTTAAGGCATTTTAAAAACGTTTCAGGGTCAATTATCTACTTTAATTGAATAAGTATGACAGAAAATTCAAGAAACTTTTAAAATATTTTAACAATCAGATATGTATCCGAGATGTTAATTTAAAAGAAAATTAATACAATTAAGGATTAATTAACAGAATTTGGGAAAATATTATAGGAAATAAACCCTATTTCCAACAAAATTATCATATTAAAACAGGCCCAAACTTTATTGTCTACTCAGTAATAGACTATATTTGCAAACATACCAAAAAGATTCCACAATACAACACACCATTTAAATCAAGGTGTTTGTTGGCTAGAAATTAACATCACCATGTGAAATATTTTACCACCCAGAGAAAACTAAAGCCCTACTTTTTCTAAACCTGCTTTCGGGTAAAAAAAATTCTTATAAAACCCACAGATTTCGACATTCACCTTCAAATGTGACTGTCCCCAAGCCGCTCAAACACAGGATAGGACGTGGTTCCATAGATCCCTACCCACCGGTGCGAAAGAGACATGTGTCGGCGACTTCAAACGAATCAACTTCATTAACAATAGCTCCGACGGTCAGTGAATCTTTGCTGATGATCAATGTCTTTTCTAAACCCCATGCGTTTCTGTGAACCAACTATTCAAAAGAATAATTCAATTAAAGAATATTTTGGAATCTTTTGAATTCATGTACACATGTTTGTAAATACAAATGATTTATTTAAAAGGCATAAAGATGTTTTCATTATTTTTATTTTTATTACTGTTTGGAATTCGGACTTTCGGATTTTTAATATAAAAACCTGAACGACTGAATTTTCTGTACGCTTAAAATTTAGCGGAAATCACCTTTGAACACAGCAAGGTATATTCCAATTGTCCACAAGTTCACAGATCAAACAAGTGATGTTATCTCCCATTTTTTATAAAATAGAATATTTGGTATACAATCAATTAATTAATAAATGCTAAAGTTTCATTTAAATTCGATAATTCTCTCGTTTTTGGCAAATTAAAAAAAAAACAGTCGGTAGCGATTTTTTGCTTTCATTTCGGAAAAAAGAAACGCATCCATTTTGACGATACCAATAATAAGGAAGCCCTCTGACGTCTGTGATAGATTTCTTGTTGGAGAGTGGAAGTTTCTAAGAACACGTAATAATACCGAATATAATAAAACAAAGATTTTATCCGATAATCTATGAAGGAATTGGTTTTTAAAAAACTACTGAATTTAATAAATAAATAAAAAATGTCAAAAAGAATATCTTGCCAAAAAATTTGTTTGAATACTTTTACCTTGATTTATGCATGTCAGTACTTAAAATTGTAATATTAAAAAAAAAAAGAAAAAAGGAAATAAATTTCCCAAAGCTTAGTAACATTAGCAAGGTGTGCCGTTAATCAGTCTGTGGGAAAATAAAATTAAACCAACGGATAAAATAATAATAAAGAATTTAAAAAAAATCCCCATGATGCTAGCAATAAAGGAATCAGAAAGGATTTTAGTCATCTGCACAATTTTATGCCACCCTTTTCGAAAAAGACAGAATCACATTTTCCAATGTATAGCGTTCGGGCGTGTTATGTAGAACCCCCACCGATGAAGTAAGTACAATCTTTACTTAGGTCGTTTCATCTCAGCGCATGACTTGAGATCGACCATTATAACCGTTTTTATCATTACTTACCCTAACTTACTTTTGGACCAGAAAAAGAAAACAGACATTGAGAACTTTGTCTTCTTCTTTAATTGTTTATGTGAACATGCACACACTTACAGTACACACCAGTACACAACCTTAAATTCCACAGAACTCTCAATCTCAAAAATAGTAGACTCACATTTTAAGCAATTGAGCTATAAAGGAGAAACCAAATCTAATAACGCTACGATGAAAAAAAAAAAAAAAAACAGAAAAAGAAAAGGTAAACATGTTATGATTGGCGTTGTATGACACTTGTTTTTGTGGTTAGTAAAATATATAGATACACATTATAACAAGAAATTGTGACATTTATACACACATAGAAAGATTTATTATCAGGAGGATTTGGTTGTTCGATAGATATATGAATGTTCTTGTAATATGGTTGTTAAATGTCTCTGATATTTGTGTTTGTCTTGGTGAATGAATGAATTATTTCGTTTGTGATAAGCCTCTCATTAAAAGGTCATATTCAACAAGAGAAACTAATATTTGAGTAGAACTTATCTTTAGTCTTCATTCCTGGAGAGATCCTTTTTCACGTGCTCTCACGGATGTCGAAAAGAGGCCAGATTCTGAATTTCTCGCCAGTAAGGCGGTTTCCTTTTTTTTTTTTTTTTTTACTTGGGAATCATGGGAAATTAGTTTTTTTTTTTTTTAGTGAGATCACGATACAATTTTTATTTCTCGTCATCGCGCGATGATTACAAACGTAACCACCGAAAAGTGACACATGACGTCGAATACCGCCACTGGCAAAATATCTTGTCTATTAATTCTTTTTTAGTTTCTTCTGTTAAAGCTTATTAGAATGATGCACTGGGAATCAGTTATTTATTCTTAACGCTTTGCTTATCCAGGGAATTTTCGTGTGTACTATTCAAACATTCATGCTTGCTTTCAGATTTATAACTATTGCAAGGTAACTCAGCTT